CGGCGGAAGAATTCGGGGCGTAGAGATAGGGTGTGAAGGTGCTTGGATTCGGTGATCACAAAGACACTGATGAGTTCGTGATCCTCCGAGTCGGACAATTCAACACCAAAGGGGAGGATCCGCTCCTGGAAATCCAGTCGCAGGGTCACATTGTATTCATAAACTTCCATCCCACCCTTCGTGGGGTCCGCGCACTGGATCTCCAGCACTTTGTTGTCGTTGATGACCCTCCACAAGAACGTCCTCGGGTAGACCCTGCGCTTCCGGAAGTAGATCCCGCCCTGTGTCGCAAGGTAACGTCTGGCGAATTCATCTTCATCTTTGGCGATTGGGAGTTCCTGGTCGGAGGATGAGATCGAAAAGCGTGGACGACGGATCGCGGTCTCTTGAGTCGGAATCTGGATGTTGGCGACCGTGGTCGGCGAATAGGGCCGAAGGTCGACCCTTGAGTCTTTGTAAATTTTCGCCATGATCGATTGACGTGTGTCAACTTAGCACTCCATGGCCGGGGAAGTAGAAAGGTTGGAAGATCAAAGGGCGGGAAGCTGGAGCTCTCAAAAAACATGGGAAGTCTTGGCGCGATAAAAGGCCTGAGATTGATGGCTTCCGCCCTTTTACTCTTAGACTTGGATCAACTTAGATGTTTTACTCTATATTCCAAGACTTGTATTATTACTGATCTTTCAAAAATTAAGAATAAACAGAGCTTATTGCTTTCTAGATGCGCTACTTTCAGAAAAAAGAAAGAAAGAAAGAAAGAAAGAAAGAACCCTCCTCAATGCTGAGATGCCATGAGCCGCTCTAACCACATAACAGCTATTGAATATAATGCTCATTAAGTCAATAACATCGTGTCGGAGAACAAAAGAAGCACAACCTTGAGAGCAAGGTTGACTCACTTATCCTCCAAATCCTTTTCACTAGGATCACCAATACCATTATCATTGATGGCGAAAAGGCAATCACTCTCTGGAAGACAAGGGCTATCATAAATTTTGCAAATTCGAGTCTCGCCACGGCCCTTCTTCAAACTGAGTCGTGTGGTACTAGCATGAGCGATGATATTGCCACCAATAGGTTTCTTAGGATCCGGGTTAAACATGGCACTGGGCCCACCATCAACTTGGGCAACAACCTGGTTTGTGATCACGACTGCGATGCCAAATTCATCCGCCAGGCGTTGCAATGTACGCATGAACTTAGCCAAATGAGTCTGCCGTGAGGCGAGCTCACCACGACCGTTGAAGTCCGTTCGGTACAGAGATGTCGCCGAGTCAACCACCAAGAGAGAGAATCGAGTCTCACACATCATCTGGGAGGCCTGGTTAAGCAGCTGAAGCTGGTGGTCTGAGTTGTATGCTCGTGCATATGCCACATTATCGAGGACCTCCTCTCCAACAAGACCGTATCTCTGCGCAACCGCAAGCAATCGGACTGGACGGAAAGTTCCCTCCGTATCGATGTAAAGACACTTGCCCTCGCCGCCGCCCATGTCAAAAGGTAGCTGGCAGGTCACCGCTAGAGTGTGACAAATCTGACTCTTTCCCGTTCTGAACTCTCCGAAAATCTCCGTGATCGATCCCGTTTCAACACCACCTCCGAGTAATGTATCCAGTCGCTTAGATCCCGTCGTGATCGAGATGAGCTCGCTTCTTCGGGCATGCATTTCGGTTGCCGTTGTGAAACCCATGGGCACCAGTTTTGAGGCTAATCAGCAGGTTCTTATTAGCGAACCACTCTCCATTGTACAGCTGTAATCCATTGTAGAAAAGGGGGACTTACCTTCTACTAGGATCTTGGTGGCCTTTTGTTCCGAGATACCCTTGATCTGCTCCAACAACCGCTTGGGCCTAAAAGTCACAGTGAGCGTTAGTCATATTGAGATAGACATGTCAATGGATATAGCAGAGCTGGTACTCGGAAAAGAATAGTGGCAATGAACGTGAGGATCATGGAGACGTACGTATATGCGACAGACTCGACAGTGTTATACCCTGCATCCACGAACAACTTAATGTCCCTAGCAGTCAAGCCAGAAACACCCTATCACAACAAAGTTAGTATAAAAGTCCAACATTCTGCAGTCAAAGCATATCGTGGCATTCACTTACGTCGAGCGCAGAAAGCGGGGTTGGGGCACCAGGGCCAGGAAGCCCATTATCCTCGAATTGCTCTTCTCCCTCCATACTAGCAGTACTATGCCTTGTTTCTTGATCTTATCGGGATTTTGATGCCTCTTTAGCAGGGTCTCCTGACTCGAAAGCACGGATGATGGATCCACTAAAAAAAGACGCGTTGTGGTGAGATGAGTACTTGCTCTCCTCGATTTGAATATCAAACAAAGCCAGGGATCTCAATCGATCAGTCAACAAACAGGCACTCTCTGGTTATGTAAAGGTCTGAAAGGTCTGAAGCGTCTGTTTGTGGCAAAAGGTCAAGATGACTCCAAGTCAACAAATCGGACGCGTCGAATGGATCGCGAGATCACGTGGGGTGCTGCCTGGAGCCTTTCCGGTTTTGGAGAAGCAACACTGTTTCTCTTTTAAATGGATATGTATCTATATTTGTTTTTCTTATGCTACCTTACGATCAAGTGGTTAGCAAGGGTCTTTATTGGGGTGGATCCATTATTGTATACCCGTGGATCGGATGCCATTGGTTCAATATGCAATAATAAAAGGTGTAAGAATACAAATCCTGCACTGAACTGCATGCTGAACCCCACCTGTCGATCAAAACATATTCTCTCGAGGTTCTTTTGGGTCCTGGAACTAGTGCTGGAACACTGCCCAGCTACCGCAACGCCATATCCAAATCAATGCTAAATGTCCGAGCAAAAGCATGTGTCGAAGGTCTTGTCTTGCAAAGGTGTTTGTTCCGATAAATTCGGTTTGCTTGCGAGATGATGACATTTTCTGTGAACCATCTCCCTACTGTTGATTCCCGGGAGAATTGAGCCACGGGCGAAAAGGACGAAGCAACGACTTCCGGAACCGTCTCTGGTACTGGCGCAGAGCCGGGTTGAACTCCAACTCCTCGGCTGGCAGCCCCATTTGGACATTGTCGTTGAAGATCTGGCTCATCCTGCGTCGGAACTCTTCAGATGATCGCCGGCGAAGACGTTCTATGAATGAGTCACATTAGTTTCTCTGTTCAAGCCCTACACCATGGCAAATTTTGACTTACTCATGGATCGTGAGCTCCGCTTGTTCTCCGATGAAAGACCAGAAGATGACTCACTCATGGCCGGGAAATAGTCCACGTCTTCATCAGCGCCATCCAATCCTACTCGGTGGTCCTTCGTGTCGGGATTAGAGGGTGTACCGAGTATCCGCATGTGGAAACTAACACGCTTTTCCCTGCCTGGTGTGTCCCTCAATCCGATCAGCGACTCCTCCCGTGCAGGTGATATTCGCATGGAATTTGGATTGATGGGCAGACTGGCTCGACTATAGCTCCCAGCGGGTCTATGTTTCTCGTAGACGAAGCCCGTGGAAGCTAGATCAAGCTCGGAAACGACTTCACGTCGGCCAGCCAGTGGCATAGGCTTTGGGCTGATCATAGGACTCATAGGACTCTGAGATCCTACCGATGACTTGGAGGTGTCAACTTTACTATGGAACGACCTTGGCGGTGGACTGGCCGGCTGACTTGGAACAGGAGTTGCAGGCTGGCAGGGACTTTGCGTGGGTGTGTTGGGAGCTGAAACCCAGATTCCTTCAACCTCTACTCCTCTTTCCAAAGCTCTGGCGCCGAAAGGGATGTCATCCTTGTGCAGCATTGGGTATACCTCGGCTTCTTCTCGTTCTTTTGCCTCTGTCGCGGCGTATTTGCTGATCATCCAACGATTCCAGCCGAGGACGCAAAAAGCGTATAGGAGCACCAGGGCCTGCGAAGCTTGTCAGTGTCTGTATCTGCGGCGTTACCATCGAGTCACGTACGATCAGCATAGCTAGTACCTGTCAATGACAATAGTTAGTAGATCTCCGTGATCACCATTTGCATACTTACCACGCTCAGCTTCTCCCATAGCTCCCAGTCCACCCAGAACGCCATAGTAGCTGGTTACTTTGAGAGATGTACTCGGGCTTTAGCTAAGGGAAGGACATCCGAGTAAGAGTGTTCAGAGTTTGCTTTGGGGTATGAAAAATAATCACAGATAAAAAAAGACGCCGGGATGGGAAGTGCTCTTAGGTTCAGAGATGGGAGGGCAGACGCGATCTGTTTGGGGCAACAAGGACCCAAATGTAGGTGTGATGGCAGTGATGGCAGGAACGCCTACTCCGTACTCAATGCATGACCGTATATCATTTCTTCAGCAATATCTCTGCACTTCTCCCCAGTTATCTTGCTCTTTTCTTTTCCTTTTCTTTTCTTTTTCGTATTCGTGATCTTTATCTAAATAGGACAAACATGTGCAATAACTAACTATCGTTTGCATGCTTAGTGACTACATACATGTATGTAAATCTAACTGAATTAGGTGTCATATGATCGCAGATGACAACTATTAAATGGAAGGACAAAAAGAATTCCTAGTTCCTGGTATTGATTGACATACAGAGTACAAAGGAAAAAAGAAAAACAAAAAAGAAATCTCTCCCTCGGGGAATCGAACCCCGGTCTCCCGCGCTTATCGGTATTAATGACAAGCGGAAATCATCACCACTAGACCAAGGAAGATGCGATGGTTGAGTTACTGCTCGACCACTTGGCTGGTTGATGGAAATGTTTGGTCATCTATGCTATATGAGCCAAAATTCATTGGAAGCTATATGACATGGTTAATTTCGAGGGACCAAGACATGATGAATTCGATTTTTTAATCAGCATTTCTTTAGATGTTCACTATTTTTAATGTACTTTTCTCTTTTCAATTGTTACAGCCTTGGATTCTAGCCTAGCCGTGCTAAGGGGTGTTGAAACGAATTGACTCAGACACAGTTGATTATATATATTGTCACTGACCACGACCCAACCAGAACCCCGTTAAGCACCACTCACGATTTCATTTCATAACACTGCATTGAGCCCCACGTCTTACCCTTCTGAGGAGACATAAATCCAGTCTTCGGAGACTGGCAGCCCTTGAAAGACGCATAGGTCTCTCCTAACCAGTCATCGTCCGTGCATTTCTTCCCCGAATACATAGCACACTTTCCGCTTTTGAGAAACCATGACTTGGGTTTCGTGAGTTTACTGGAGGCACAGGTGCCCCAGTTGAGACCACCATCAGACCACCATCGACAGGACGTAGTACTATCCGAGATTTTGGTGTTGGTATTATCTGCGAGAATAATGCAGTGGCCAGCATATTGGTCTTCATGTCCTTGAACAGTGAAGTAATCCCCTTCGCACTTATCCTTTGAATAGACTGACATTTGCCAAGTTTGAGTCGGAGCAGCACTGCTTGGAGCTGGCACTAATTTTATGCTAGTTAAAGTCACCATGTTTGCTTTCGCAGTAGTTTTTGAAGTAGTAGTAGTAGTTTTTGAGGTAGTCGTTGTTTTGGAGGTCACGTTTGAAGCAGTAGTTGTTTTTGACGTAGTAGTCTGTGAAGTAGTCGTCTTTGAAGTGGTACTTTGGGTGGTGGCTTTGTTTTGTGTACTCTTCGGTCCACAGTTAAAGATACAACCGGCGCTTGCATCACAAAAGGCAGAGGTAGTACCACATTGTCCAGACTTAGCACACTGTGAATATAAGTTAGTAGAGGTTAACAAGATGGGCAATTTGGAGAACTATAATACTCACGCATTGGTTTGAAGGGCACGGATTTAGAGAGGCGAGATCGCTATATTTGGCAGGGCGTTGTGTTCCGGGAACTTGGGGACCGCAGACAGCATGCGGGAGAGCAACTGGCATAGGAAGGGCACCGGAGCTGAGACAGACAAAATCACCCTGCTTCAATCTGGCACAACCCGGCCAGCCCCAGGATCCGAGATTCCAAGTCTCGATATTGCTGGTGGTAATCTGGTAGCGCTCAGCAATTCTCTCGCAGGTATCGTGTTCCTGAATGATGTAGGTGTAGCAGATACCGTTGGCACCCGGTGCAAGTGGACTGCGCTTGTTGAGTGAATGGCCATGGGAGTCGCCAAAGCCGTGCCCGGATTGGGCTGTTGCTATGTGAACAAGCAACAGAGAGAGGAGGATATGAATGGAATTCATTGCATTGAGAATACCCTTGAACATAACTCTCTATTGAGGAGATTGGACCATCCTTTATAAATAGTTGAATATGTGGGAAAAAGAAATATTTCGAGATTTTCTAGTTTGATTCAGATGAACACTGTCGGAACATGAACATGAAACGAAACCATCGAGTTCAGTTCATTGTTCAACTGCAGACCCCAGGAACCATACAAGGTTCCATCCTATCATATCTATCGACCGGCAAGTATAAAAAATTAATTCCCATTTAATTTTCAACAAAGAACAATATCACATCCAACATATCATCATCTTCGGTTCGCCCTTTGTTACCTTACATACGAGGTCCAAGATGGATGTGGTTTGGAAGGGCTAAAATCGATACGTAATCCTCAAGCAAGTACCTAAGTAGAATGCAAGGAAAGTTACGTATAGGGAAAACGCTTGAATGCACCAAAATCCGGATATCAAAAGGGTCAATATTAGAAGAAAATCAACGCAAGTCTTGGCTAGAGAATGTATGGATGAAAATTTTTTTTTTTTTTAAAAAGGGCAAAGTGAAAGACCCAAGATCCCCGATAGAGCTGAAAGAAAGCCCGAGAGAAAACCAAGAAAGAGTCAAGGACAGAGTATATCCAGAAGTGAATAGACTCATTGGCGCCCGCGCGTTGGCGATACTATTGAGACTGTATCCCCAAACAGTACTCAATAGTGCTGATGAAGTCACATATTTTCTATTATAATACCAGAGGCAAAAGCCTCTTTCAACTACCAAGTCATGCAAAAGTCCATGAGGCGATATCCTTTGGTGCCATATTTATCCCGGGGAGACTTGAATATTGGAAGGGAAGTTGAAAGGAAAGTAGCTGAAGGGAGAAATAAATGTAAATACCAGTGACAGTTGCTAAAACAGGTATGGCAACAGGGCTGGTTATATTCCGTACTCCGTAGAAGGACCAAGATACATCTACGAATACGCTAGCAATAGCCCAAAAGTGGGCCTATGATCCGCATGAGACAAGTTGCAGCAAATCGTATCTATCCGATAAGAGCCGGAAATTCATGTTATGTTATCAACTGTTGCAAACTGATTAGAATCATATGTCAAGTACTATGCATTTATGCATGCTGAAATTACCAGGTCTTTACAAACCGGGAAATCAATGGACCGTCATGATAACGGTACCATACAAAAATACATACATTGCTTAATCAGCTATGTCCGCCGAGATTGGAAAAGAGCGGATCTTGTCATTTTAGTTAGTTAGAGAATTTACATATGTCAGATTTACCATACATTGTCGTATCCGTCTATTTCTGTCAGTTATGAGCCCGGCTTCGTTCCAATTAAGATCTGTCTACAACATATAGACCATCTTTTACCTAGCTGTCGCCGATTCACAGTGGTTTTGACAACGGTCAACCCCTGAATCGTCGAAGCACCCCTATCTCCTTCGAAGAAGATCAGATTCATCGACGAAAATCGACAATAATGAATATTATGTCAAGCCTCTCCGCGGCCTCCTCCCGCGTCATTTTGAAGGATACAGAATCATGGGATGCATGGCTCTCATATATTAAAGCAATTGCAGTTGCATATAAAGTATGGGATCAATGCAATCCGTCTCTTAAGGAGGAAGAACGTCCTAAATTGGAACCACCTGAAGAGATCATCTCTGTCAAAGATGCCATAAAAGAATACCCAGAACACTGGTTCAATGTGAGGCTATCCCTAAAAGCAGATTGGGATGCAGAGAACAGAGCCTATCAGTCGAAACTACAGGCATTAGATCTAGTGGCGGTGGCAATTAGGCAGTCAGTTGATACTCCCTACCAGCCCTTTATCATTGATATACCATCACCTTTGGAGCTGATGCTCAATCTCCACAAACGATTTGCACCAGAGAGCGATCCTACATACAAAACTAAGCTCCGTCAACAGTGGCGGAACCTAGATAGAGGCCTAGATCGGAACACCGATATCGAGAAATGGCTTCTAAACTGGGAATCGCTTTACCAATCGTGTAAGAAGGCAAGGATGCCAGAAGCAGAGGATGCCACGAATCAATTCCTTGAAGCAATCTCTATAATGTCGCCTGGATTCTATGAAACATGGGCTCTCAGAGTACAGGATAATCAGGACATCCCTTTCTTCGAAATCATGACTCGGTACAAAGCCCACTGGAAGATTACCCATGGCAGGCCGGCTGCGCAAAGAGGCATCTCAAAGGCTGCTTTCTCGACATGGCAAGGCAATGAAGAAGCAAAGCCTATAGAGGCAAGGAATGATGGCCTAGAAAGAAGGCCATGTCCATGTGACAGGGTAAAATCGAGAGTTCATATGCCTTGGGCCTGCTGGGAAATCTATGAAGATAGAAGGCCTGCTAATTACCAGCCCTCACCGGCATTGAAACAGAAGTGGGAGAAGGCCATGAAGGCTAATCCTAGATGGAAGGCAATTGTCGACAAGAAGCGAGCTGCATATGCAGAAGGCCAAGGGGGACCCTTGCTAAAGAGCAAGCGAATACAACCCTCGACGATGAAGCCTTTGGCTTCTTGACAACCAACGCAGTCAAAATTGACACCGTTATGTCAACAAAAATCAAGGATTTTGAAGCCACAACTACACCTACAGAAGACAGATGGGTAGTTGATACAGGTGCTCAAATCCACGTATGCAACAATCGGAGCTTGTTTAGCACCTTTAAAAGCGTACAGAGCAACGTCAAAGTGGGAGATACAGAGACGAAGGTGGCCGGTATAGGCACTGTGGTCATCTATGGTGTAAACCCTACCACTGGAAGCGCCGTTAAGATGAACCTATTTCAAACTAGGTACTCGCCAAACTTCCATAGTAATCTGATATCTCATGGATTGATGATGAAGGGGGGCCTATTAATGAATCTCAGAGCAAACTGCATTGAGACAATTGATGGCCATCGTCAGATCTATAAGATCTACCACGATCAGAAGCTATCATGGCTCACCCAGACAAGGGGTTTTATAACCCAAAAGGCATCAGATTTGAAGCCTGAAATGACGTTTGCCACTAAGAAATCCAATCAGGAGCCAAAATCTGAGGCTTCAATTGAGCTCTGGCATCGTCGATTAGGCCACATTGGCAAGGCGCGAATTGTCAAACTGGCAGAGATGACTGAAGGAATCACTATTGCAAGCAACCCAGGCAAAGAAATGCAGGTATGTGAAGCTTGTCAATTGGCAGATGCACCTAGGCAAATCTCTCGCCGGAAGATAGGCCAGGCATATGGTATATTAGGGAGAGTACACTTCGATCTAGTACAAAACCAGCCTGCCTACAACGGTCATATATGGATGACGCACTTCTATCTCGATGGAATAAGGTGTCACTTCGTATTTACCCATATAAAGAAGAGCGAGTGTCAGATGGCAGTTCGTAAATTCTTAGCATTGATCCGAAACTGGTTGAAAATCGAGATCAGGGTATTTCATTATGATAATGAGAGAAGCGCCGGCAATGAGGTTGAATCTATGATTGAAGACGAAGGGTGTACCATTGAGCATGCACCACCTGGCTTGCCAGAGATGAATGGACCAGCAGAGAGATCTGGAGGCATGATAGTAAGGAACGGCAGAGCATTGCTCAATGGTACGAACCTACCCCACAATCTATGGCCAGAGACGATGTATGCATCTGCATATATGATGAATCGTACCCCTACAAAGATGGATGGTAAGTGGATCATACCATGGAAGGAATTGATGCGCTATGCGGCTCCAGATGGCTTAAAAGATCAAATTGTCAACCTGTCGAATATGAGGCTATATGGGTGCTTAACGTACTCAAGGCTTCTGAAGAGAGTACAATCTAACAAGATGGCTCCGAGAGCAGAGATCGGCTATCTTGTAGGCTATGTTTCAAAGAGCCTATACAAGATCTGGTTTCCATACAAAGGGCGAGCAGGCATAGGCAGAGTTGAAGTTGTAAGAGATGCTGTATTCGATGAATCGAGACAGTACTCTAAAACGAAGCCTTTACCGCAAGAAGAAGATGCAATTAGTACTATGACAAATGGACTAAGCGCTAAGAACTGGCCCCAAGTGCTCTCAATGGAAGAAGCGCAGTCAGAATTGAGCATAGAGATGCGTATGCCGATGTCAATTGCTCGCATAACTCTCAATGATGACGTCGAAAACCGAGAACAAGGTACTGCACCAGAGGCGGTAAATGAAGAAATCCAGGAATCTAGAGTTGTGGAGCAAGCTCAAACTCTAGATAGTAGGGAGGAGACACCAAGGGTCCCCCCTTTAAAGGAAACACCTGTTTTACCTTTAACACCGGCTTCAATGGCAGGCCCTGCTTCAGTGGTAGAACATATCTCAATGATAGAGGTAAGGGATCAAGAACAGATCCCTGGGAGCTTCCCTATGTCACCACAGAGAGCCTCACCACAAAGAGCACTATCGTCGATTGCTACGATTGAGAGTACGCCACATGAGAGATCTCCTACCTCGCTATCTTCGCCAGATCCGATCAATGTCATACAGTCGATCGAAGCTGAAGGGGGAGAGGGAGATCAATATGATGAAGATGAAGCAGAGATAGAGCGTCAATTGCAACAAGAGATGCAGTATACGCCTACTCCAGAGCCAGAAGATCGGCCTACTAGAGAGATCTCTGCGTCAATTGATGAATCTAACATCATCTCAGGCCCCAGAATACGGAAGCCAAAGGCAGATCCAGACTACACTGCATATCTATCGCTAGACGAGAAACAGCTAGCCGAGCCACCAAGCCTTCTATATGCCTTTACAACAGGTATTACGAAGAAGCTCAATATGCAAAACAGACTGCATAGAGATCAGATGCCTCCACCACCAGAGAACTGGAAGCGGCTAAAAATCCATCCCTTTGCCACGCAATTGAAGGCAGCTGCGGAGTTTGAAATTGAGACCTTAAAGGCTAAAGAGACCTTCTCTCAGGTTGCATTACCGAACAAAAAGAGCACCCAGATCTTGCCATTGAAGTGGGTATTTACATACAAATTTGATGCAGATGGTATGCTCGAGAAGTTCAAAGCAAGAATCTGCGTGAGAGGAGATCTACAGTGGATGTCAACTGAAGAAAAGAGAGCTGCTACACTAGCTGTCAAAACAGCGAGAGCAGTATTCGCACTAGTTGCCGCCTTTGATCTAGATATGATTCAGAGAGATGTGGTTACCGCATTCCTGAATTCAATGCTAGAAAGCGAGGTTTATACCAAGTGTCCACCAGGCTTCGAAGCACTAAATCAGTGCTGGCTCCTGCATAGAGCCCTCTACGGATTGCGCATGTCACCAAGGCTTTGGCAGCAAGAAGCTACAAAGGTGCTAGTAAAACTAGGCCTTACCCCAGTGGAAGAAGATCCATGCATCTTTACAACCAAAGGCATTATTGTCTTTTTCTACGTGGACGATATCATCATCGTCAATCACCCCAAACAGGCTAAAGAAGCCGCTTTACTAGATCAAAATCTAAAGAAGCAATGGGAGCTTCGAGAACTGGATGCAAGCTGGTTCTTGAATATACGTATTATACGTGATAGAGAGCAGAAGAAGCTCTGGTTATGCCAAGATAGCTACATCGAGAGCATGGCACACAAATACAATCTCGTCACAGAGAGAAAAATAGGGTCCCCACTGAGCATTGAGCCTCTAGTACCCTATGATGGGGTGGCATCACCGCAACAGATTCATGGTTTCCAGGCCAAGGTTGGATCTGCGCAGTATGCCACCACCATTACCCGGGTAGATGCTGCAAAAGCAACCTCCAAAGTGGCTGAATTCCTTACAAATCCAGGACCAAAGCATATAGATGCAGTCGATCGCATCATACAGTATCTCTATGAGACACGCTTTTGGGCCATTGAATACGGCATCAGAACACCAAACAGCATCAGAACACCAAACAAACAACCTAGAAATCGAGATACGACCCTGACGATGGCGGCGAAATCGGTTGAATTTGCAAGCGATGCGTCGTTCGGAGACCATAAAGATCGAAAGAGCTCCGAAGGGTATATCTGCAAGTTATATGGTGGCCCAATCGATTGGAAGGCCACTAAGCAGAAGACTGTCACCACATCGACTACCGAGGCCGAACTACTAGCTTTAGCAGAGGCAGGAAAAACCGTACAGTGGTGGCGACGAGTGCTTAATGCACTAGGCTTCGAACCAGATCACCCACTATCCATCATGTGTGACAACCAGCAAACTGTCGATTTATTGACGAAGGAAGGGGCCGCGATGCATACGAAGCTCCGGCATGTTGACATCAATCGATGCTGGATGAAGCAAGAAGTTAGCGCAGGTCGAGTATATGTGGACTGGGTACCAACTGCTGCGATGCCAGCAGATGGGCTCACCAAAGCTCTGACGAAGCAGAAGCAGGGACACTTCAGAGAGTTGGTTGGAATGAGGGACGTAGGTCACATGATTCGTCACATGACCTCTGAGAACAGAGGCTGTTTTGCGGAAACTGCATAAATCGACGATTTGAGCCGAGATCAGTGAGGAGACAGGTGAGGTAAGTTGGAATCACTTGCGAATCATTTGCGAAGCGGTTGCGAAGCAGCTGCGAAACAGTTGGAAGAAAGGCAGTCCTTGAGAGCTTTGAATAGCTTCAAGAACTGGGGGGGTGTGTCAAGTACTATGCATTTATGCATGCTGAAATTACCAGGTCTTTACAAACCGGGAAATCAATGGACCGTCATGATAACGGTACCATACAAAAATACATACATTGCTTAATCAGCTATGTCCGCCGAGATTGGAAAAGAGCGGATCTTGTCATTTTAGTTAGTTAGAGAATTTACATATGTCAGATTTACCATACATTGTCGTATCCGTCTATTTCTGTCATCATATGTTAAAGTTCAAGCGCCATGGCTTGAGGACCCGGGGCATGAGGGAATTGTGCCGGACTATTCATCTGAGGCATAATTTATTTCACGTTTTATGATTTGTTGGGGAGGAATGGCGGCATCACTATCCAATGACCTCACGTTCGATTCGGACATTATTATCGAATGAAGTTAGCGTGGACTAGGTTGTCTGCAGGCGAAGTCTGCACGATCTGCACGAAGGAACTCCGATGCAGGGGCACAGTTACTCCTCACCCAGACTGAGGGGGGAAAATATGGTTACCTTGTCTTGTTCCTGAATCCCAGTCTTCTTTTAATATGATATCCGATACCCTATAACCAGACACACAATTCATAACTACGTTATTCTGAGTATGAATAAACCCTGGAGATTTAAATAAAATTATATCTAAATTATTCCCAAGTCCACATTTATACACCTCTCCCGCCTTTTCTCCTGGGCATTATTGCTTGTTGAAAGCTTGGCACTCTTATCACTGACAGGCTAATGGCTAGGCGACAAGGCTATATTAGCTTCTAAGCCACAGTCACATCAAGTTGCTGTTGCTGACTTTGTCCTAATAATTATCGGCAACGCGCCCTGAAGAGAGCGATCACTACCCCATTAGTCTGGGGTTATCATTCCATTATTCCGCGATGCTTGTTAATCTATTTCAACATCTCTAGGCTCCGTCGGGAACCCGGAGGGCTACAGCTTGTATCATTTTAGCGTACATGGGAAATAGACAATGCCATTGGACTCATACCCTAGTGTTTACTGATTATGCGTGAACCTGATGCACGAAATAGGAACAATTGGAAGATCTCCGAACTTGTGACCTGACCTTGCCAGCAATTGCGCGGATAAAGTGAAATTCTTCAGGCTACGGTCCATCTTGGGGTTATCCATCGGTCTCCGACGGTATCGGAAGATATGAGGCGATGTTACATTGAGGGAGACGTGTTTAATGTGCATTAGCTTGAGTACTCGGGGCATATTGTCTTTTACAACATACTTTTTAATGAAGCTATAGCTAGACATGACAGCTATATAAACGGCCTCTTCCCTGCGATTATCTTGTTATCCACACAGCCAAGCAAACTCCAGTTCTTTCCACCAAACAGTTCAATCGTCCAACCTGCACCATGAAGTTCTCTGCCACCCTCCTCAGCGCCGCGTTGCTCACAACGTCGGCCATTGCCTCTCCTCTCAGCGAGCGCCGCTCAGCTCGCAACGCTGCCCGCGCTGCGGCCCGAACTGACCGTCTCAGCCACCCGCCTTACAAGCCAGACACCAAGGAGCTCCTCAACCTGAATGCGACGACCGAGGAGCAGTACAGCTCAAACTGGGCCGGTGCTGTCCTTATTGGTAGCAAGTACACCTCGGTCAGCGGAGAGTTCACCGTCCCCACGCCTAAGCTCCCCTCGGGTGCTTCGTCTGGCGAGCAGTACTGCGCCTCTGCTTGGGTCGGTATTGACGGCGACACCTGCAGCAGCGCCATCCTCCAGACTGGAGTTAACTTCTGCATCGAGGATGGCGAGGTTTCCTACGACGCCTGGTATGAGTGGTACCCGGATTACGCTTACGACTTCTCCGGCATCCAGATCTCCTCTGGGGATGTGATCAAGCTCACTGTGACCGCTTCCTCGAAGACCTCCGGCTCTGCCGTCATCGAGAATGTCACTACAGGCAAGACTGTCACCCACAAGTTCACTGGTGTTGATGATGGAGACCTCTGCGAGACTAACGCCGAGTGGATTGTCGAGGACTTCGAGAGTGGCGGCGAGTTGGTTCCTTTCACCAACTTCGGAACTGTGACATTCCGCAACGCAGAGGCTACATCTGGTGGCGAGACTGTTGGCCCATCTGGATCTACTATCATGGATATCAAGCAGAGCGGCAATGTTTTGACCAAGTCTTCTGCTACCAGCAGCAGTGTTACTGTCAGCTATGTCTAAGGTTAGACAGAATGATTCAATCAACCCTTGCCGCAGCATTGGATGATTGGAAATGCAACACTGGACGAACTTGGTATGTGAATGAGGACTGGGAGGATGGGAAGGAAACAGATTTTGGCAAATAATGGGAGATTATATGATTCTATTTCTGAGTAAACTAACATTTGAAACCTCGATTTCTCCTAATTTACCTCCAATGATAATTTATCCTAAATATAATATAGAGTTAGCCAAAATTAAGTTTTTAATGGCTTTCCATTGAATAAAATCCTATAAAAAATAGAAGTAAATCATGAGTTTTAATGATCAGTTAAAGTAGCATATGGTTAACGTATTTCACCAGTGAGCTGCGCACACCCACGAGCTGCGCACCCCACCCAGCCTACTAATTTCAAATGTAAATATGTCAACCAAAACTCCATTAAATTAAATACACTAAAATCATAATCTATCTGGACATGTTTCTCTTCTATGCCCTGGCAATCTGCATATTCCACAGGCCCGGGGGGGGCGTATACGTGGCTGTATAGCTAGTTCTCTAGGTATGCCGGCGCCAGGGGGAGGTGCTTCAGTTGCTTCCTGTTGCTGCATATTTAATGCAGAGGCTTCTTGAACTGAAAGGCCTTCTTCAGTAGGAATAGGCCTTCGGGATCGAGTACGCTTTTGCTTATGCTTCTCGTTGGCGGCGCGTAATTCCTTGATTTCTTGCGCTTGTAAAATATGACTTTGTAGCTGGAGCTGGAAGCCTTTTATAAGCTGGTTTAATGCACGATCTGATGGGCTGGGCGGGCTTCGAGATCTTGTACGAAGTAAAGCTTTGATTGACGAAGCTTGTCGACGTAGATCTTTCTCTGTAAATGGAGTTTTTGGCGTAAAATTCCGGCTTGATTCACTCCCCCGGCTTGGAGGGGGGGTTGGGGTTCGAAGCCGAATATTAAGCTTAGAGATCACTCTCTCCGGTTCAAAAGGGACTAAACCGGCTGCCCCGAAGCTATTTTTAATAGTCTCCGGTTTAAAAGCTTCAATTCGTGCGAGAGGGTATGCTTCGAGGAAGTCAAGTTTGTCAATATGATTGATCCCGTTCCGCATCTTAGTTTCAACCATCCGACCGTACGCACGTTTTAACACCGCAAAACAACTAATATCTAGAGGTTGTAAAAGATGAGACGAATGCGCAGGCATACAGATTGGTATCACCTTATTTTGCTCGCAAATTTCGTCAAATTGAGGTGTTAAATGACTTCCGTGGCTATCAAGTATCAAAAGCCGGTATATCCCCTTTGTACGCGAAGTACTAGGAATAAAGAGCTTCTTAAGCCACCGAAGTCCAATTTCATCAGAGGTCCAACCATTAGGACTGACTTCGAAGCGCCAATCCCCCCGGAAGGCCGTCAAACCATGATTCAATAAAGACTTTGCCTTTAAAAATCACACACGGAGGAAGGGCCCATCCAGAAGCATTCGTACATTCAATTGTAGTCACCCATTCACGATTTCTAGGTTGTAAAACCGGCCTCCGACCGTAGTATTCACTCCTCGTAATAACCTTCGCAGTTGCAGTCAATCCCATTGCAAAACCGGTCTCATCAAAGTTATAGATATCGTCAGGGTCGATTCCAAATTGAAGGATTGTCTTTTGAACTAAATCAAACCACTCCCCAATGATTTTAGGGTCTTCGCATTTCGCACGCTCGTAGTTATAACGTTTCGAGAATCGAGAGGAAAGAAGAGGACGTCGTTTTACGAATTTCGTAACCCAATTTTGGCCGACCGAAAGAAACGGGGTAGTTCCACGCTTTTGAAGCAGAAGATCCGCCATTTCTCGTACCATAGAGGGCCGGGGGGCTGCTCCACGTAGATCCATAGAGAGAATCCATTTTTCAAGAGATTCCTCCTCAGTTTCAGACAATTTATGGTTGTTGGCGCGTGTTTCAGCGCGAAAGGTAGTCCCACGAAGGCGCGTTCGAAGGGTTGATTCGGGTACGTCAAAACGGCGCGCTGCTTCGCGAAGAGCGCTGATTTCTTGCCTCTTAATAGCCTGTATAGCTAATAAGATTCTACCCTCTCTCTCCATTGAATTTTGAGAAGATTGAGTACGAATTGGTGGCATAGTGGGTGGTTGAAGAAGAAGGGGGTAAATTAGTTGACGCGTTTTAGGTGGGGTGCGCAGCTCGTTGGTGTGCGCAGCTCACTGGTGAAATACGTTAGTTTGCGGTTAGTTTGTGGTCTTTGCGGTTACCTTGCGGTTACCTAGCGGTTATCCAATAGTTAACCAAGAAATAACCGTACTACTAGATAGCGGGAACCAATTAGCTTACAGGATTAACCAGCAAACTATAATTGCTTTTGATATCTATTGATTCCCCCCGGTCGCAACTTATTCCCTTTCATCCCAAAGCGAATCCCTAGTAAGTTTCCTTTTCTCCCAACTAGACCCCTACTACTTCGGCCTTTCTTCATAATGGCTTATTCTCAAGTATCTGGTTTTACCGATCAGTTTTCTGAGGCTGACTTTCTACAGTCAGACGATCTACCTACCCCTAGCAATACCTGCCGAACAGCCACGTCGGTTGCCCTGTCTGATCCTCGCCAGTCTTCCCAACAGCTAGCACCATCCTCGTTAAAACGCGTTGGCCCTCGGTTCCACCAGATCTGGATACTGTACGATACAAATCCTGAGATGGAGCAATCCCGCTTACAATTTACGGAATGGTGGCTACAGACCGAGTTCGGAGTAAAGGAGGATGCTAGAGCTTCGATCGGCTGGGATAATGAGAAAAGATCAAGTGTTTAGGATGAATTTGACCAAGTTGCACACGAGAAGACTGGCGAGCCAAAGATCATGTGCAAGCGCTGCCACACTACCCTTACTCATCCCCAGTTACGCCGCGGAGGAACAAGCCCGATGAATACGCATCTTAAAAGTACTACTTGCAAGCCTGGGCTGCAAAGAAGAGGGATTGATCAGCTACTACTCCAATCGGTCAGTTTAAAAGTTATCTCATTCTTCTACCACTATTTACTAACTCTCTTCTTATTCAGCCCCAGACTCGATCGCCACAGTCCTTCTCTGAAGATCTTCTTATCCACCATCTTCTCCAGCTCATCACTATTGCCCGACTCCCATTCCGTATACTTAAGCGTCCTGAGTTCCAACAACTTTGTGATGTCATTCAACTAGCTCCTTCCAAGATTAAACTACCCTCTGCTCGGTCTATTCGTCGTCGGCTAGACCTAGAGGTTCAACAAGAACAACAGAGTGTGCTTGATAAGTTACCACAAGAGAGCAGACTCTCAATTGCATTAGACTGCTGGACATCACCCTTTTCCCAAGCATTCATGGCAATTACTGGCTATTTCCTCGATAATGACTGGGAGTATCGTGAGGTCCTTCTTGGGTTTGAGCCACTACATGGTCCACATACTGGAAGCAATTTAAGTTCCGTCGTTATCAACATTCTTGAAAAACACCAGATCACTGATCGGATATTATCGATCACGACAGATAATGCAACGAACAACAATACCATGATTAATAGCATCCAAGAAGAGATCAAGGTACAAGGGATTGGTGACACAGGGGTCTTTCGGATTCCATGTCTCGCCCATGTGATTCAGCTGAGTCTTAATCAATTACTGGGGAAAATGAAGGCAACACCCATTAATGATGAGACTGAGATTGAGTGGTCGGATGAGCGTGCATACTCAACACATCCTAAGCGCACAAACAGAGAGATAGTTGATACTCTGAATAAGGTAAGTCTTCCTTCCTCTCTTTTACTACCAGATCACTAACTTCTCACTCTATACCTAGATTCGGAACCTTGCTATCTTCATCAATGCAAGCCCACAGCGCCGCGAAGCCTTTTTAGGCCTTCAGACCGAAGAGCCTCATCTACTCCCTATTCAGGATGTCCGTACACGATAGAATTCTACCTTTCTAATGCTCGGCCGTGCAAAGCGACTACAGAAGACCTTCAAACGATACTGTCAAACCCATGGATACCCCCAATTCCGCCTTGACAAAGAGGAGTGGCGCCAGGTCGACTACCTACTTTGTATCACCCAGCCGTTCTTCAAGTTCACTACTGCTCTTTCAAAGTCAAAGGATATCACTATTCATCTCATCTTTAGCATCTACAATAAGCTCTTCAGTCACCTTGAGGCCTCCGAAGAGCAGCTTCGCCGGAAGAGGATTCCCTGGAAGCAAACTATGCTTCAAGCACTTCAAGCAGCAAGGGAAAAGCTCTCAGAGTACTATAAGATGACTGACCATGAGTGCTATAGTGATATTTACGCAATTGCAACGATCCTGGCACCTTCGAAGAAGCTTCGCTTCTTTAAAACCAAGGATTGGCAAAGTGATGTTGACTACGCTGGACGATACCGTGGTCGATTGGAGGAGGAATTCTGGCGTTATAAGAGACGGCTTTCAGACAACAATAGCCCTCTATCACTTAGGGCTTTAGCTGGTTCACTCAATACCGTGGATGAGATTGAGATGCTTTGTGACTCCCAGAATGCTCTTCAACCGGAGGAGCCCCAAGGGAACAATGATGACGAGCTTAATCGCTATCTTGCTAAAGGTAAGCCCCTACCTATGCACAAAGAAACTCGAGAAATTAGAACTAATAAGCTAGGACTGATATCTCAACATCCTCGCATGTTCTGGAAGGAGCATCAACAAGAGTTTCCAATTCTTGCAGCCCTTGCACGGGATATCTTGTCTATTCCTGCTAGTGGTGCTGGTGTAGAGCGTCTGTTTAATTACGCGCGTGATATCTGTCATTATCGACGTGGGCAATTAAAATCGGAGACAGTTAAAGCGCTAATGCTTCATATGTGTGCAACAAAATTTGAGGTTGAACAAAGGGAGATTGATTTCACTAAACAGCTCATTTCAGTTGGGGAGTCAGCTCTTCTTGAACAGGAGACAGGCTCATTACCACCCCTCCCTTCTCTGGATCCTATTAGTGATAGTGAGGAGGCCGAAGATGAAGATACAGTGACTGAGATTCCCTCTCAGCTGCAGCCTCAGGTTCAGAGTGAAAATACTAGACCCAAGAGACCTCGGAGTAGAAGCACTCAATCCCAGGAGGAAGTCATACCTGAACCGGCTGATCTGGAGAATACACAACGACCTAGTCGAGTACGGAAGAAGACCAGGATGCCAGAAGGATTTGAAATCGGAACCCCATAAGTGTATAATAAATCAAAGAAGTGCACTATTATATTAAATTATTTATTTACAAAAAAAGTTGACTTGCGTAAGATACTCTATACTGACGAGATTAGACTGCGACATCGCCCGTCCATGGGCACCTAGGAGGTGCCCAAGGCCCGTCCACGGTGGGCCTTGGGCTATTTGGATTTTCGAGTGCCCGTCCATAACGCCCAAGGCCCACGGGCATGCCCACGGCGGGCATGCCCACGATGCCCACCATTGCATAAAGTCACCCAAAATGGACGTATAACTCGCTGACTTTGCATAATAAATAACTGTTATTTACACCTGTTTTGCCAACTCCATGTAAAATGGCAGTTTTAATCTACAACATCTATAAATTTTACTGAAATATCTATGTATATGAGAAACTAGTATATATATGATACGAATTGGAATAAAATTTTAATCGAAATACATCATATTGTGTGGTATTTTTATTAACTTATCAAATCATACTGTAACAGCTTGAAGATATATATTTAAGTCAGTGGTACATGCCTGGCATTTTCTATAAGTAAAATACTACTTATGGATTCTACTTTATCTCTCACTCTAGTATATTTCTCATAGGTAGATCGAAAGATAATTAGTATAATTCTTATTTTATAAGCTTATATCACTAAATTCTGTCAATTATATCACTCAAAGACTTGTGTTATTATTCTGGGAGTTTTAAATCCTTCGATTGTAACTCAAGATGGGCGTTTAGGTATGTTCCCATGGGCGTGCCCACGGGCGTGCCCACGGGCATGCCCATGGACAAAGACACTTATAGCCAATCAGCTTATAATATATAGTGGGTCTACACTCAATTTACGATCTATCAGATCTATACAAAGCACCCCTTTTACTAGTAATCCTCGTTTCACACGGTCGCAAGTTACCTATTGTAAGTTCAGATCACTCACTCTCCTATAGTCGTTATATTATCCCTTACATCACATTAACCATGTCCCAACCTAGTGCCTATACCGCAGGGCCTTCTTCACTTCCTCCGAGCTCCCAACCAGACCTCTCCTACGTCGCCGATATATTTGATCCTAACCTTAATCCAAATATTGATCCCAGTCTCTTCAACAGCCAACAGACTTCTATCTCACTGATAGAGTCCGAGTTCACTCAACCGGCTATTCTTGATTGCTCTCTCAAACGCGTCGGCCCCGATCGGAGAAAGCAGTTTATCCTCTACGACGCGATGAACAACGCGTCCAAAGTAAAGTTTATCGAGTGGTGGCGTACCACAGTACGCGGCAGCAGTACTGAGACACAACAAAGGCTACGATAGGATGCAAAACACATATTAGATGTCTGGGAGAACTTCGACCAGGTAATGAATTCCCAATTCTTTCCAGTGTTGCTCGCGACATTCTCTCTATTCCTGCAACAGGCGCTAGAGTTGAACGTCTTTTCAATTTAGCACGGGATGTCTGCCACTACCGACGTGGGCGGCTGAGTACGAAGACAGTCCAGGATATCATAATGTTCCGGTATAAAACCCAGTTCGACATTGAAATAGAAGAACTACCCGATGAGGATACGTCCTTGGATTCAATGCAAGAAGCAGACGAACAGAGAGAGGCTAAGCTTACCACTGACATGCCTGAACCAATCAGCGATAGTGAGGATTCCGAGGATAATGATCCTGTTGGACTGATCGAGTATGAGTTTATGATGGAGAGTCAGCTTCCTCGTCCTTCTATAGTGCTAAGTACGCGGAAGCGACAGAGAAGTGAGCTAGTCGACAGCGAAGATAAGAGCAGTCCTCATCTCCCTCATTATGGAGATAAGGGTAGCACTCAAAAGCGCCCTGGTTTAAGAGAAGCAAGGAAGCGTGGCAAACCTAATAATGATCAATTTGTATCGTATTAGTGTAAATATATGAATATAATGAATGCCTAAGTCATTATGCAAAGGCTTCCAAGGCTTATTTCTGACCCCGGTCAAAAAAGTGACAATGTGTCAAGTTGTTGTATAAAGGCTTCTAAAGCTCATTTCTGACCTCGGTCAGAAAATTGACAGTAGTATCAAGTCATTGTACATGTAATCGAATTACTCAAAAATACAGAGAAAAAAATGCACAAATAATGCAGGTCACGAGGTCAAGAAATTCTGCTTACTAAAAAGGCCCATGGGCGCCCACGGTGTCCATGGACAATGGGCCCTAAGGGTAGGGCCCGTCCATGGGCGTATGGATAGTGCCCATCGCCCGCTTACATAAGGCCCGTGGGCACTGCCCACCCGCCCGTCCATGGGCGATGTCGCAGTCTAGACGAGATACTAGAAAAATACCAAAAAGACTGCATAAAAAATCATCTAACCAAAAGGTCACGAGGCTTAGCCTGTTTGCTATGTTTATCTAACCATTGGTTAACCAAAACCGCATTGCGGTTTTGAGTTGAAGACCGCAACCAAACCGCAAAATTTGCGGTCTTGATCTGAAGACCAAAACCAAATGGTTTTGGATATGGTTGCGGTTAACCATGGTCTTTGCGGTTAGTGCCGCAGTCTAGTTATGACGAACCTAGCTTGGGTTACTTGGGGCTCCAGTACTGGGTTGGAGGGTTGGAGATCAGGCCTTGAAACCTAACCCAGATTGGGTCTGGGTTTTTGGGGTTTTGCAGAAGCCTGCTACCTATGGCTGAGCGCAGGTATATCAATACAACTTAGCATCCCCCATCAAAAGAATTCGGCCTTGACCTCAAACTAGTAACGTAAGACCCTCCCACATGGCTATTCTAGATTCTGATCTGACATTTATATAGATCATAGTACCGGTTCAGAAGATCCACAATATCTGATCAAGAAACCTCGAGGTTTTGGGATCTTAGGCGGGGTGTTTGGCCCACTGGGCCCCTCCCCTGTTGAGTCGGAATAAATTAGGAAGTAATCCAGCAAATACTGGAGTTAAGTAATTTGGCTAAGTTGCATACGATAACGAGTCTCAGAGCAGAAACGGAAGAGAATTCAAACTTGTTCTTTCTAAGTGGTAAAACATATAACTTTGCCAAAATGGTGAAAATTCAATTGGCAAGAAGGAAAATAGGAACGTTGAATTCCTCATCCGAAAGTGTGAACGTTGAGGATCAACATAAAAAAAGTAAAGGATTCTGACATTTATATTTGCTGTGTAGATCAAATTGCGTTCTGGTGATGCTTTTTTGGCTTTCTGCGGGAAATACAGTGGCCATAGGAATTGGGCATGACCGCGCAATGCTAAATAGATTTAGCAATTCGGCAACACACACCCTCATGCCGACAATCAAATAACGTGAGGCTCGGAGAATTACTCGCGTTTTCCATGCACCGTATAACGCCAGATAGAGTTGAGAAGGCTAGCCGATTTTTTGGGAATGCGCTTATATCCGGCCTCACGATCCACAAATGTGACTCCGAATCGCGGCTGGTAGCCGTTGTGCCATTCAAGATTGCTATATTGGCTGTTAGTGGTGAAATAAAGGCCAGGCTTGTAATTCAGAAACAGCACACCACTCACTCGAGGAGACTCCAGGCGTGATATCCTGCAACCTGCACCCCATCCATTTTCACTGCGTCACACAGGGCCTGGAAGTAATTGTTGTAGTACTCCTGTCGAGCGGTATCGTCTATAATAGACTCAATAGCCATGCTGCTTTCATTTTCCATGGCATATCCGTTTTCATAGACAATGATGGGAATGTCTAATGCTTTGGCAAAATGATCCCAACAATAGACAAGCACCTTTCTGAAGCCCCAGGGAACTATTGACCATTTCTTAGCTCTGCGACACACCGTAGGACGACTGACTCACCAGTATGCGGGTGGCCGTTATGGCCTCGTCTCCCGATTAATATTCCATCTTTTGTCCATGACTTCTCTACTTCATCCATAGTCCATATATCCAGCTTAGATCCAGGCTCTAGGATCCTCCCTGTAGCGTAAGACGTTCCATAATGATTCACAGAGAAGCTAGATCAGATAGGCGCCGTGCATAAGCGACTGAATATCCGGTAAGGCGAATTGGGACACTCACAAGTCTGCAGAACCATTTAACATTTGCAACTCTTCCTCGGAGAATCGAGGAAAAATGTCACTGTGGCGATCCCAAGCATTCGTCTGCGTACCGAGAACTATCCAGTTTGTAAGTGATAGATCATTTTGCTACGGCCAATGACCTACAGATAGGCTTCGCAAACTATATGTCCATTAAAATTGTCAGTTTATAGCCTGCAAAGAAAGTGCTATAGGGGTCTTTACCCAATCAATGCATCTCTCTGTGGCGAGATTAGCAGCCTGCACAGCCGCAGGGGATTCATCAACAGGCTCTACCCATTCCATATTCTGTATGAAGTCAGTATATGCATAGGGTGTGATGGGCTCCTTAGAGAGGACGGAAGGCATCGCACCAGAGCAATCCCAATCTGACCGTCCTGTGTCATTTTAAACTCTTCACGATAAAGACGAGCGACGTGGCCATGAACGAGTATACAGTTGTGTCCAACCCTTTTCTTGTTAGTCATATCGTGCACCGGGGCTCCCCAGTCAACTTTGCCCACCTGAAAAAGTCGGGTTGAGTCCAGTCTTCAGCAAGACCCAAAGAGTACAATATCGTAAAGATCCAAGGCTTGATTGCAACGTTAGGAAATCTTAGTTTGTGGAAAGGAAAGTCACACACCTCGTTGATGGTTAACCATCGTTTCACCCGGTCACCGAAGGTCTCGAAGCAGAGCCTCGCAAATGAACAGAAATCTTCAACCAATTCTCCACTGTCGGCTGCCGCAAACCCTCTGTACCGTCTCTGGAGTGACAATGGAACGTCATAATGGAACAAAGTGACCGTCGGCTCGATTCCAGCTTCCAAAAGCCCATCGATCTAAAAGTTTAGCTTGCAATCGTGGAGATATTATGAACAGAAGTACGCACGAGGTCATTGTAATACTTGATTCCTTCATGGTTAACCTCGTCTTTCCTGCCTCCTGGTCGCGGTCCTGTTAGCTAAATGATGTATAAAGGACCTGCAGTGACCTTGACGTACCGAGAGGCTTGATTCGCGACCACGATATGGAGAATCGATATGAATTAGCCCCATACTGCTTGAGAAGTTCGATATCATTTCTCCACAAATGATATGAGTTGCAGGCAGTGTCACCATTTTCCGGCGAATCTCTCAAGAACTCATCCCAAATGGATGCCCCACGGCCACCCTGAGAAGTTGCGCCTTCGATTTGGTAGGCTGCCGATCTGAGTAGCGATTACTAGAGGTCAGAGAAATGAAAACAGGTTTGAGGATTCTCAAAGCTGGGTTTACCTACGCATAGCCGTGAAGAAAGGTTGCTGGTAGAATGCTGGAGTACTCCGGATTCTCTGAGAGTTTGGCGAACGTCATCCTGTGTCTGGCTGTTGTATTGAACTCCGTATGTCTCGTTCTGCTGCCAGCTATTTGTACCCGAAAACTTCGGAGGAGGAGCATATTTGTAGGAAATAATAGCTTATGATATTATGATACTTTCCGAGAAAGGAAGGACGTACTTGGTAACGGGCCCGGTGGGTCCGGCGGGTCCGTTGCATAAGTTAGTCCAATAACTTACTGTTCATGGTCAGGAGTGGTCGAACTCGGGACTCTGTTCCGACAACACCCGCAGACTCCGAGGCTCCCCACAACCATATCGGGTCTCTCCACCTACGTCGGGCCCGTCGGGTCCGTCGGACTCGTCCGCCTTATCAGTTACGAGGTATGAGTGACACTCACCTCAGTTTCTCCAACCTACTATCCCCGGTCGCATCTCGTAACCTAAGTTTGGGGCCCCGGACTGGATCCAGACCATATCCTGGAGAGGGTGGGGGACGGCCGCACCGTTGGAGACGCCACTTTGCCCCTTATTTTCTATAAAGAGTTCAATTCGCCTGTCAAGAAATTTTCTGTTACGATAAGGTATTCCCAACCTTTCTATTTGCCCAGAATGTTCGACTACCTCGCAGGAACGACAGTGACCGGCTTTTTCTGCATGGGCTTAGCGTCTGCAGGAGCACTGCTATTTGTATGTATTATTTTACCTTGGACTGCCGCGATATACGTGGCAGATATAGTAACAACGACAATAGGGTATTGACAATGGCTGGTGGGGGACCCTGCTTGGAGCGGAGGAATTTCTTCGAACCTATGGGTCTTGCGAGACTGTGAATGGTGTACATCTCTGCTCTTTATCGACTGCGCAACAGTCTGCAGGGAGCTCAGTTCAGTCAGCTGGGATAAGTATGGTTATCAAGCTCTTGGTTGGCCTCGGAGAGTTCTAATTCTTTTTTCTGCAGTGGCTGGCTCGTTGATCTCAATATCCGTAAATAACTGGCTCGGCCGCAGGAATTCTCTCCTCGTGACAGGGGTCATTTCTATCATCGGAGTACTTATCGAAATTACAAGTGCCGTCGGCGCGTCAGCGCGCTTCTCACAGCTTGTGGTTGGCAAGACTATCGCAGCTCTAGCAATGGGACTTTGTGCGAATGTCGTCCCTATTTATCTTTCGGAGACTTCCACAGCCACCGCTCGAGGCTTTGCAGTCACTATGTATTCGAACGCGCAGGTACTTGGTTCCATTGTGGCCGCGGGCACGGTATATGCGACCTCAAAGCGAATGGATGCAGGCTGTTACTATATTCCGATTGGCATCCAGCTTCTTCCACCACTTTGTATGATCATCGGCTCACCATTTCTTCCTGAGAGCCCCAGGTGGCTTGTACTTAAAGGGTGAGCATCTACCTTCTTTCCTCATCAGCGTCTTATTTTCCAATACACTACTGAGACAATCATCAACCGAGTAGTCAAACCGAGCGTGCTGTTGTTGCTTCTAGCAGGCTTTTCGCTTCGAAAAGAAACAATTTTGATGCCCAGGCTTACGTACGAACAATTGAAGTGGCGATTGAAGAAGAACGCCTTAGTCAACAGTCTTCGGGCTGGATGGACCTACTTCGTGGATCCGACCTCCGCCGTTTACTTATTGCAATCGGTGTTCAGTGTCTGTGTCAAGCGCAGGGATCAACCTATATCCTGAACTACGTTGTCTCATTCCTCAAGTCAGCTGGTATCGCCGATGTCTTCCCAGTCATCATGGGTATGTACTCTCTTTATTATGTAGGTATCCTGGGGGGACATTATTTGCCTGATCGGTTCGGCCGTCGCTCCTTGCTTATGTCGACTGCCGGAATTTGTGGGGTGTGTCTTTTAACTATTGCCATTATGATCACTGCAATTGCCTCACCCACCGCTGCTTCCCGCAAAGCGGCTATTGCCTTGATCTTTATCTGGGAATTAATGTTTGCAGTTCAAAGCACTGTCATTTGGATCGTCACCACGGAGTGCGCTCCTTCTCGAAACCGGGAAAAGGTGCTGGCAATTGCCGTCTTTTTCGGGTTTGGAATTTCCCTGTTAGTTGCTTCGGTCTCTCCGTACCTCCAGGATGAAGCCTATGGCAATTTAGGTGGTAAAATTGTAAGTTCCATATACCTTCATCTAGAAATGTCAACTAACATATCCAGGGTTTCATATGGGGGACATTCTCAATAATCGCTGTTATTTGGACTTTTTTCACAGTTCCTGAGATGAAAGGTTTCTCTCTAGAGGAACTTGATCACCTGTTCAACCGCCAGGTCCCTACACTAAGATTCAAAAGATATCAGTTTCCGGTCGAGAATGGTCCCGAGAAATGATTGGATGTTCTCTGTGAAGCTCAGAACGCAGACTATTTAAAGTGCAACTTTGGGCTTGGTGATTAAATATATCGACAAAAAGAACCAGAAGAGCATTGTGAGAAGTGCGAATGCAGTAGCTTGAGCTCTCCTTGAAGTCCGAAACCTTTGTCATTAGATGGTTGCTTAACAAAATTCGTATATCGACGACCGGCCCTATTCCCTGTTGTCAATTGGTATGCACTACCCCTACCAATCGTTGAAAATCTGGCGTTCATAGTGATCCGGCCTTGGCATTGTTCGCTTCTCTTCCTGGTGGCGTGGATAAGTTTAGTCTTCTCCGCTGTGAAGCTAGAACCCGTCCCTAGAGCCTATGCTTCGAACCGTGGTATGTCCTCGGATTGGATTCTCACTAAGTTTTCTTCGGCGGTCTAGCCAACCCGCCAGCAGAAATAATCGCCGATGAAGGCTATGCCCCGCCGTGGAAGTCGAGGGGCTGATCGGATAGGTCGCAGTTGAAGAAAGCGAAGAGTATAGGTGATAAGGGGGAGCCTTACGCCAGTCTAGCATTGTGAAGTGGTGTTATGTCCGAACTATAGTCATCGAATTTAATGTTGGCCCGTCGTCCGGAGCGTTCTGCGAGTTAGGACAGTAGCTTAGCTATAACTGCCTCTAGTAGTCTACCGAGAGTATTAAGAAGTGAAATTGGGGGATAGGCCCCTGGAAGTGATTAATCTGGTTTCCCGGGTTTTCGTAAAACAACAATGCGGGCGCTCCTCTATCATTGGGAGTAATATCCTAGCTTGATCGATGCTACGAATATCCTAGTGATGAAGTATCCTAGGTGTCTCTATAGACATTTTCAGATCAGAATAGGGAGAATGTCTTCCCATATCTTGATTATTCTCTCCTCACCAACATCATCCAGTGGCATATTTACTATGCGCACTACGACCTTCCCTTTACCCACGGCAAAGACCCAACAAAGACTCTATACACTATGTCTAACAAAAATTAGGGCTCGCTAAGGGAAATCTATGTGTTTACTTGAATGAACATAAGAAGGAATTCCTAGTACTTACGAGACTACCGTAGCACAAGATACTCCCTTGATTCCTGCTAGTGGAGCTAGGGCTAAAGCGTTTACTTAATACTTACGATAACAGGGCGTCCGGAAGAATCCGGGTCGATGGGGACACAAGTCGAAAATACTGCTGAGTAAATCATACCGCGCGCCAAATGGAAATCAACAAGTCTGAATTGCTATAGTGCCCCTAGCTGGCAATTTAAGTTATGTGGGGATGATAATGACTAATACTTGTGGGAGATCATCTTCCGTTCTCCACTGCTGCTACTGTTCCGTCAACACTCAAGGCTGGCATCAGCGAAGTTTTTCAAGTAGACGATTGATGGCCAAAGCAGTGCCATGCACATCTTCAATGATTATCATGTGGCCGGTGTTGAGGAGGTACCGAAGCGGGGTTTTCCCAGAATTTGCGATCAACCCAACGAGCTCGTCTGTGACATGCACAGGAGAGATATTATCCGCCAGTCCCCCTATCACACATGTCGGGCAGGTGATCGATGAATAGTTTGGATCAACATGGGTGTCGTCACATAAAGCATCGCACATCTGCGCATATCCTTCTGGATTGGTTTGAGAGGTGACAGCTCGGAGGAGAGCGCGAGAAAGCCCAGCAGTTCCTGGTGGTATGTTGTAATCCACCCTCTCGTCAACATCCCAAAAAAGACCCCTTGATCGGGCTGCGCGAGAGAGTTGCAGCGTGAAGCTCTTGGCGGGACATTCGACTGCTCTAGTTCTACCAGCCCCGATGACAAAGAGGGCGTCCACCCGACCTGAAAACTGGGCTGCAAACATCATGCTGACAATACCACCTGCACTGTGTCCCACTAATATAGCTGAAGAAATTGTGAGATGATCCATCACGCCTCGAAGTATCGCTACAAGGATCGGCATTGTTACTTTCTCTGTCGTGTTGTTCAGACTGCTATGTCCATGGCCCGGCCAGTCGATTCGCACCACAGTGTGAGTCTTATAAAATATCTCCATAAGCGGATAGAAGACATTCGTATTTGCACCCAATCCGTGTGTCATGATCATATAAGGGCCATCGCCGTCAATTTCGACAAATACATCAAAACCGACGACGGAAATGATCGCAGACCTTCTTTGTTGATTTCTGAGCACACTCCCGGGTACAGTCACAGTTTTGTCGTTCATTGCTTGGGTCAAGTTTGAAGATTGGATTGATAAAGAAAGGGCGCGTATTGCTTGAAGATGGACCCGAGATAGACGAATCCTGGATTGAGATTGGTTTTTGGCAGGGAACACAGCTCATATCTATGAGTTGATATACCTTATTTTCGTAAAAAGAAATAAGAGCAGTGTGGCTATTCCCGCTAGCAGAAAGATCTGTTGGTAATCTCGGCCGAGAATAGTGTGGTGGGTTAATAATTGCTGGAGAGGAAAGAAACACAAATTTCGGCCGAGAATTCCCCATCAACATGTACCTTCGATTCACTGGTTTCTGGTCAACATGCGTCATTTGTCTTTTTCAATGGCTTTCTATGAAATAGATTGATCGAAGCAAACTCCTCTTCAGACCTATAAAACGTTCCACTACCTACGCAGGGTTGATGCTCAGCAAGGCTAATAAAAATAGCGGTTTTGGAATCAAAGGTTTC